AACGTATTAATGTTATTAATATGCTAATATTAATTAACATTAGATAAGACAGATTTAGGATAGGATAAGAAATAGACCAACAGAACAGAATAGAGCATCCAGAAATATATCTAGACATATACAGTCACATGATTTATAGCAAATTGCACTCTGGTGCAATAGGAAAATAACCATATAAATGGTTCTAGGTCAGCTGGAAGCCCATATAGAAAACCATGTATCTTTGGCCGGGTGTGGTGGTTCATGCCTGTAAATCCCAACACTTTGGGAGACTGAGGCAGGCAGATCATGAGGTCAGGACATCAAGACCATCCTGGCAAACATGGTGAAACCCACTCTCTACTAAAAATACAAAAAATTAGCTGGGCATGGTGGCACTCGCCTGTAGTCCCAACTACTCAGGAGGCTGAGGCAGGAGAATCGCTCGAACCCAGGAGGCAGAGGCTGCAGTGAGCCAAGATCGCACCACTGCACTCCAGCCTGAGCGACAGAGAGAGACTCTGTCTCAAAAAAACAAACAAAAACAAAAGAAAACCATGTATCTTGACCCCTCACACTATACGATAATCGACTCCAAATGGATTGCAGATCTTAAATGTGAAAGGTAAAACAATAAAATTTTTTAGAAGAAAACATCAGTTAATATCTTTATCATCTTGGAGTAGGCAAAAATTTATTGAAAAGAACAAAAATACTGAAAGCCATAAAGAAAAAAATGGCTAAGATTGGATTATATTAAGAATTTTTTTTTTCATCAAAAGACACCATAGGCTGGGCGTGTTGGCACACACCTGTAATCCCAGCATTTTGGGAGGCCAAGGTGGGTAGATCACTTGAGCCCAGGAGTTTGAGACAAGCCTGGGCAACATGGCAAAACCCCATCCTCTCCAAAAAAAAAAAAAAAAAAAAAAAAAAAATACAAAGATTACGCTATGCGTGTGGTTGTGCACGTCCTGTCATCCCCAGCTACTTGAGAGACTCTGAAGGGTGGATTGGCTTGAGGCCTGGGAGGCTCCAAGTCCTGGATGACAGACAATACCCCTGATCTCAAAAAAAAAAAAAAAAAAAAAGAAAGAAAGATACTACAAAGAGAATTAAAAGGAAGACAGATTGGGGGAGATATTTGCAATATATGTATATATTATTCAACTTATATCTAGAATGTATAAAGAGCTCTATAAATCAATGTGAGAAAGACAGACAACCTAATTGAAACAGGGGGAAAACTTGAGTAGGCACTTCTGAAAAGATGGTATTCAAATACCCAATGAACACACAAAATATTGAACTTCATTAGTCACCAAGCAAATTAAAATAAATCAACAATGAGATAAAAGGGTACATCCATCAAGAATGGCTAAAATAAAAAAGGAAGATACTATCGAGTGTCAATAAGAGCGTGGAACAACCAGACTCTTGTTTATTGCTGGTCTGAGTACAAATAGGTATAATTAATTTGGAAAATACTGCAGCTGAACATAGGTATATGAACATACATCTACCCTCTGACCCTATGACCTAGCAATTCCACTCCTAATTATACACCAAACAGAATTTTTATATAAATTCACTGAAAGATACATGCAAGAATGTTCACAGAAGCACTCTTCCTAATAATCTAAACTGGAAACTACTCAAATCCCCATTAGCAATAAAATGGATAAAAAAAATTATGGTGACTGTTCTCAGAGTAGAGTAGTAGAAAGCAGTGAGAATGAATAAAGCATAATTATAAGCAATGATAAGAATTGTCAAAGATGAAACTAGGCCTGAAACAAAATGAACAAAGTCTTCATAAACCTGTGACAAGAGGACCCATCTGTGATCACGCTTATTTCAGCAGTGATTCAAAGGTGGTAGAAAGGGGAGTTAGTTTTCTAAACAGGGAAAAAACAAGGACAGCCTCTGATTGGCACGCATTCTATTACGGTGGAATTTTTGGAAGCAGAGACTTTCTAACTGGTCTTCAGGTACTTTGACCACCCTTGGTGAACTTCAAGAGGGGTAGCTCCTTACTGCCCGGCAGAGGAAGTTCCACTCCTATCAAATGGCCTAAAAGCCCACCATGCCCTGGCCTCTGCGCCCCTGTCCCTTCCTCTGCTCTCCTGGGGCACCAGCATCCTTTCTGTCTTCCAAGTGCCATGGGCCCTCCTTTCTCCATCTGTGAGATGCTTATACCTCAGTGGGAGAGAATGACAGTATCAGGTAATTCCAGAAAGGAGTATGAAATTACAAACTGAATTAAACTATGAAAGAAAGCATACAAGAAAAGAAATTGGCTAGATCGAAGGGTTAGGACTAGCTTTTTTATTTGGTTTGGGGTCTGAATAATTTAAAGGCAGACAGAGGAGGAGAGAAGAGGAGGGGTTCAGACAGATGCAGCAGTATGTGCAAAGGCCCTGGGGCAAGAGAGAGTATAAACAGTATCAGGAATTGAAAGAAAGAACACAGAGAACACAAGGCAAGCAAGGGTCCAGTAGAGTGTGATGAGGATTTTGTTAATACTAAGATAGCACAATGCTTAATATGAGAATACTTAAAATAAAAGCTATTTTAAGCAGGGATGACATGATAATATTTCATTAGAAAAGTAAGCTCTTGCCTGCAACATAGGTGGGGGAGCAATTTAGATGCCAGGGGGCCTGAGAGAGTGAACTGGGGTGGTGGCAGGGGAGGTGGAGAGAGTTGGATACATTCTTAAAAATGTGGGAGTTAAAATTGACAGAAGCTGCTGATGGATTCAATATAGGGGAATATATCAGTCTGTTTTCATACTGCTATGGAGAAATATCCAAGACTAGGTAACTTATGAAGAAAAAGAGACTTAATGGACTCACAGTTCCACATGGCTGGGGAGGCCTCACAATCATGGTGGAAAGCAAAAGAGAAGCAGTCATGTCTTACATGGCTACAGGCAAGAGAGCATGTGCAGGGAAACTGCCCTTTACAAAACCATCAGATCTTGTGAAACTTATTCACTCTCATGAGAATGAGATGGGAAGAACCTGTCCCCATGATTTAATTACCTCCCACCGGGTCCCTCCCACAACACTTGGGGATTATGGGAGCTACAATTCAATATGAAATTTGGGTGAGGACACAGGCAAACCATATCAGGGAGGAAGGGAAGGTGGGACACCCAGGCTAACACTGGGATTTTGGCCTCCCTGGGTGGATGGCAGTACCTTTCCTGGGGCAGGGCCTCTGGTGGACTGCTACGGTCATGGTGTAGAGCAGAAGGTGTGAATCAGTTAGTCTAAAGCAAGTTGAATTTGAGATGTCGCAGGGACGTTAAGTGGAGGGGTCAACTAGGCAAGAAGATATGATGTGGCTTTGCGGTTCAGAAGATAGTTCTGAGCCACAGAAACAATTATAATTCAAACATAAGTAGGGGATTAGTATTCTTTTTTTTAAAATGGTTTAAGTTGAAGTTGAAAAAATAAGAACTGGCCTTCAATTCCCTTTTTTTCCCCGCCCTCTCATTTTCGTTGGAGAACTTCTTTTTCTTTTTCTCTCTACTCCCCTCTTATTGTCTTGTGCTTCTCTTGACCGAGGGGTTTCCTACATTCATCACCTCTGTCTTGGCAGGATACAGCTCCCACCTCTGTTGTCTGTCTTGCTGTATCACCCTCGGGCCTTATCAGCTGAAAAACAGACAGCAAAGGGAATGGCAGCTACAAGTCATTTGGAAATTATTTGTATGTGGGAAACAGGTTGCTATTTTGGGTGTGGATAATTTTCCAGCGAAAAGGAAGGAGCTGTTACTGAGGTGCTTTTCTTGTTAAGGCAATGCCAGTGTATCTCCCTCCACAGCCCTGGGCTCACAGTGGTGGCTATCAGAGGAGGAATGTGATGTGTGATCGATTCTGGCTTCTAACAGTATTCAGACAGAGCTGGTGGGGAGGAGAGAGGAGAAGAAGAGAAGGTGTGAGGTGAGGGTTTGTTTCCAAGCATGTATAAAAGCACCTAAGAATCATTTTCATGACAAGTCAGTTGGATGAACCAGCTTGCATAGAACCAGCTGTTCTTTTGAAATAAACTCTACTGGGCAGTATAAATTCAGATAGGAAACTCAAAACCTTATTTGGATAGATCTCAATCCTGAGGGCAAGCAGGCAAGTAGGAAAAAGATTCCAAATACTTTAATGGGCAGAATTTTCAAAACAAAAAACAAAAAATCTGGTAAATTGCTGCTTAGTTCCAGTATTTACAAAATTACAGGGGGGTGAGTACTCAGGAAGACTTTCCTATATTGTTCAATAACTAACATTATAAAAAACTGAGGCAGTGAGAAAAAAAGGTATATGTCACTTTTCTTGCCAAGGCTATCAGGTTGACCTCCACTCTGGAAAGTCAAATTATGTCGATTTTACCCCCAGAAATTTCTGTGCAGTGGGGTGTGATGATGGGGGTACGGCTTTAGGTCCAGCCATCACTGCATTCTTCCTGGGGTGGGGATTTTCTGTGTGGCTGTGACAGCCAAGGAGAAACCCAGTATCTCTTAGAGACTCAAGATTTTATTTTTGTGATGAGTAAAATCTCATTTGTTACATTCCCAAATCAGCTTCCCAACCAAAATTTTTAGACCAGTTTGCAATCTTTACTGAGATTATTTTTCTGTTAAGTTTCTTGGGTGTGATGTAGGTGTTCAATGCAAAAAGATAGATGCCCATTTGTATATCTTTATGTGTGTGATCAACAGTTAGTGATGACTAGGGGCTAGGCCGTGTTCTAAGTGATTAAAGGGCATGAAACTAAGGCTTACGTTAATTCTTTAAGGTTGATGCTTTTATGATTCCCATATTATGGATGAATAAATAGCAGCATAGATTGGTCAGTTAGTTACCTGGCTGAGGTCACAGAGCTGTAAATGTCCTGGAACCGGGGTTTGACCCAGTGCTGTCTGCCTCTGGCACCTGCTCTCCTCACCTCTAAACCTCTTCATGGAAAAATAAACATTTTAAAGTGTATAGTCTTGATGATGTTTTATTTTCTTGTAGGAGTGACTGGGTGACATCGTATAAGGTCATGGTGAGCAATGACAGCCACACGTGGGTCACTGTTAAGAATGGATCTGGAGACATGGTGAGTCTCATCCTCCATCTAACCATGCCTTTGGTGCCTGGCTGGGTGGAGTTTTGCAAAGAGAGGCAATGTATGATCAATTCTTTGGAGATTTGTGGATTCTGTGTCAACTCAAACCTACCACGAGGGTCTGATGGACAGAGACCCCTTCCCATGCCCTGAAGCCCAGCAGCGAGTGACACACATTTATTTAGAGCTAATGTAAAATTCAGCCTTTATTTACTCCCATCAGGGAACTGCAGGGATACAGCCTCTTATGTAATTTGCAAGGTAGCCCTGGAAGTTGCGTGCATGCTGGGGCCTCTTGCAGCTCTTCTTAATAGTTTCCTAACTTCATTTCGTGACCTTGGCCTTTCAGTTCCATGATTAGCTCCAGCTTAGTCCTGATCCTGTCACTCTCTTCCTCAGATTCTCAAGTGTGTATTCCTAGCATGGTATCTAATATCTTACACAGTCTGACTAGTCTGACTGTGGCCTCCTTTTTCAATCTTCTTTCTCATTCTTACCCCCTACACACAGTCCTGTGTCCTTGTACAAGTGAACCAGCTGCTCTTCTGCCGAGGAATCCAATATTTAGACTTCTGCACTCATTGTTCATTTTCTCTGGATACCCTCTCATCCCTACAGATCTAAATAGCTTTCCTTCAATGCCAATTCAAACAGCCCCTTTTCCCCAAAACTTTGCCTGGTCCTCTCCATCTTCTGAAATCCCAAAGCTCTCTAGCTGTCCCTTTGCCATGACACCGATAGATTTTTCCTACAATATATAATTACCCCCTCCCCGCATACCAACTAGATGGAGGCTTCCTGCGGGCAGGGGCCAGGCCTGATTCATTTCTTCTTTTCTCTTCAATGCCTAGCACGCATTAGGTTTTCCTCAATAAGGTCTTGTTGAATGAGTGAATTCTGACTCTTTATCTCTTGGTAATTAAGCACTAAAAGATTTTCCTTTTCTTCCTTGAGCATAAATAGATATTTGAAGGAAACAGTGAGAAGGAGATCCCTGTTCTCAACGAGCTGCCCATCCCCATGGTGGCCCGCTACATCCGCATAAACCCACGGTCCTGGTTTGATAATGGGAGCATCTGCATGAGAATGGAGATCCTGGGCTGCCCTCTGCCAGGTGAGTTCAACCTCCCCATCCCGTGCTTCCTGAAGGGTGGGAGTACTGATGGAAAACAGATGCCCAGCCAAGGCAAATAAAAATAAACTAAGCAGTCCAAGCACAGTAGCTCACGCCTGTAATCCCAGCATTTGGGGAGGCTAAGGAGGAAGGATCACTTGAGGCTGGAAGTTCAAGACCAGCCTGGGCCACAAAGGGAGACCCTGTCTCCACAAAAATAAAAATAAATAAATAATAAAATTTAAGAATTACCCAGGCATGGTGGAGTGAGCCTATATTCCCTACTACTTGGGAGGCTGAGGCAGGAGGATTGCTTGAGCCTAGGAGGTTGAGGCTGCAGTGAGCTGAAATCGCACCACTGCACTCCAGCCTGGGTGATGGAGTGAGACCCTGTCTCAAAAAAACAAAAAGATAAAAAGTAATAATACACCAAACAATTGTTTTCTTGTGTAGAAAAAAATACATGTCTGTTGTAGAATATTTAGAAAACATAGGTGAACCAAAAAGAAAATAAATAAAAATTTCCCATAAGCCCACTGGGAAGCACAGTGAACAATGGGGCTACTGAAGTCCCTTGCCAAGTGCAGTTTTGCCTACTGTGATTTTAAGACGATACGTACCACTAAGAAGTGAGAAAAAAAAATTATGTAGAAATTTGGGAGAACACATTTATTTGTCATTGGCAGATCCCATGACAGTGGGTAGTGGCGGTGAGGTAAGGAGGTGGTAGAAGTTCATTCTAAACCATTAACATAGTCTTTTTCTGATGGAGTAACTGCTCTTGGAAGCCTGTGTCTTTGAGTAAATGCTTATTTAGGTAGTATTCCACTTGCCTTATTTTCACATGATGATATTTGGGGGTAACCTCAGGGTGGCTTGAAGAAAAGGGGTTTTAATTCACATGTGCCGCCTGCATCTTTGATAATGTCTTTTCTGGACAGGCTGCTCTGTCCTGGCCTTTCAGGCATTCTATGCTCGTGCCTGGATGAAGCCTGCAGGCCGCAGCCTCTTCATCCTGAACACACATCTCCAGGGAATGTGGGTGGCCCGAGATCACCTCCTACAGGGCGTCATCACCTCATGGGGCCTATAGGAACCTTCACATTCCTATTCACCTATAGTCCATCCACACAGGCAGGCCGTGGGGACATGGGACACAGTCGTCGCTCAACCCCCAAACTCTCCAGTGGGGCCTTCCCACCCCTGCCCAGTGTGAGGTGTGGGGCTGGCTACCTGTGGGACTCCTAGACCCTCCCAGCACTGCCTGGGGCAGGGTACCAGCTCTCAGGCTATTTCTGTAGTAACCCCCTCTCCATGAACTTACATTTCCTGTATTTTCGAAGCATACTGAAGGTCATTTAATTGTTTTCCTCTCAATCCCATAGTATTCATGATCTTGCTAGCCAACCTCAGATTTTTACAATCCAAACCTCATATTGGTGAGAAAGACAGATCTTTCTACCTAACTGCTTACCCTCACACTGGTCATATATATATATATTTTGTTTTATATTTATGTGTACTTATTCAATTGTGCAACTTTTTTTTTATGTCATCAAAACCATTAGAGACCATTGTCTTTGGGATGCTTCTCCTTTAGCCCACGGACAAAATGCCATGTTTTCAGTCTGCCTCAGACGGTCGGAAGTTCAGTTGTTTCTAATCACTGGATTCTGTAAACAACCCCACAGAGAACATTCTTAATTCTCTGTCCTTCTTTTGTGTGTGTCCACAATTATTTCCTGAAATTAGATTATGATAAGTAGGATTGCTGGCGTGAAGAATGTGCCCAGTTTCAAGGCAGATGCAGAGAGAATGTGGAAGGCCTGCCTGATCGTGGATGTGGGCCTCCTTCTGTGGTGGGCTGGTGCAGGAATTGCCTCAGGACCGGTCCTGGCATCCTGGACCTGCCGGGTTCTCCAGCACAGGGTGACTGTGGGCACAGGTATCTTCAGGGAGGCATTTACGGGCTCTGGCCCTCTTGATGCCAGCCCAGGAGTCTTGCTCTCCTGTTCTGCTCAGCACAGCCTTGGCCTGCTTGCTGGAAAAAGTAACCTGCGGCTTTTCTCTGCAGGTAGGAATTCATCTGTTGTTGGCAAAGGGCAAAGGGCAGCCTGTAAGAGTCTCATGAAATAAATATTTCCCTGTGAAGTTATTCTTGGTGTGTGTGTGTTTGAAGATGGGCCCTGGAGGTCCTTTAAACCCTCACAAAGTCAGGGTTACACTGTGAAATCTGAATTCATGTATGGACTCAGAATGGTTCTGTTTTCCATCCCCCAAATATTAAGGACCATTTTCTTTCTAGAAGTTATTTAGCACTTTGCTTAGAAGGGAGCGGCTGTTCATGCATGCTGCCTGATGGGGTCATGTCCAAGGATGGGGCTGCTCAGGGGCGCAAAACGAGTCTTGCTCATCACCCTGGTGCTAGGGAGATTCCTTTGTAAAAGTTATTGGGGCCAGGGCCAGGGATTACCCAAGGTGACCTCGTGGTTGAAATGCAGCCTCTCCAAGTCTGCACTTCCCAGGCCTCTTTCTCATGAAACATTCATTTACCTTTGCTTCTGTGTCTCTTTGTTCTGTCCCTTTCTTCCCTCACCGTCTTCCTGTGAACTCTCCGGTGGGGGCGGATGAGGGTGCTGGTGCTTTTTAAGACTCTATGCATAATGTTTCCAGAAATTTTTTGAGCTGAAAAGTGAATTACCATATACCATGGTCTATTAATAGAATTTTTAAAGCTCAAAAGTAAAAGAAAATGGAGAGTTGTTGTTGAATGGGTAAAGACTGTCAGTTTTGCAAGATGAAAACATTCTGGAGATGGCTGGTGGTTTCACAGCAAGGTGTATGTACTCATCACTACTGCACCATACACTGGAAAAATGGTCAAGATGGTAACATTTATGTTATGTGTAGTTTTCCACAATTAAAAATAATTTGGCAGGGCACGGTGGCTCACGACTGTAATCCCAGCACTTTGCAAGGCTGAGGCAGGTGGATCATTTGAGGTCAGCAATTCAAAACCAGCCTGACCAACATGATGAAACCTCATCTCTACTAAAAATACAAAAATTATCCCAGCATGGTGGTGGGCACCTGTAATCCCAGCTACTTGGGAGGCTGAGGCACAAGAATCACCTGAGCCCCGGAGGCGAGGTCACAGTGAGCCTAGATCACAACCACTGCACTCCAGCCTGGGTGACAGAGTGAGACCCTATCTCAAATACACACACACACACACACACACACACAGTCTTAAATAAATAAATAAAAATAATTTGATTGCTATTAATAAAAAACAGTAAAAGAAAGTCCTCTTTTCTAAGGTTGAATGGACTAGTCCATTTTGCACTGAATATCTATGCTTATCAGAACCTGGGGAGAATTCTGAAGATAAAGTTTTAACAATAAAAAAATGCGAGTTAAGAACTATGCCAGCTGACTGGCCAGATGGTCATGGCCTTGATGGTTTTCAGAGCTTTTGCTGTTGCAAACAACACTGCATTACACACTGCCTGGCTCTTAAAAGGACCAGGTGAGCTTTGCAAATGATTACCCCTCTAGGCTACAGAGTTGGTACCCAGCATTGTAGGAAATGACCTTCAAGATAGGGAGGTGGCTGTGCTTGAGCCCCTGGAAATGCCCAATAGCTTCTATTATGAACGTGTGAGGCTTTGGTGTCTTTGGGGGAAGTTGTCACTCATTCTACCTCGTCTTCCTGGTCACCAGGTCTGAGCAACTGTCCTCCCTCTGCACAGCACTGAGGTGTCCAGGGTTCTTGGGTGTAACTCAGAGAACCTAGTGACAGGCACAGAGATCTGTGGACAGGAGCCACTCCCTCAAGCACAGAGGAGCTGCTGAAAGGCAGTGCCTTGAAGTCAGTCCTCCAAGTTGGCCAGGAGCAGGTGACACGCTGCATTCTTCCTCCTAATATGTACATCCTCCCAGCCCATGTTCACTAGTTCATAATTATTGAAAAGCTATTTTAATTGTAAGGCCACCACCTGTCTTGCTGAGCTATGATGTTTCAGCCAGTCACCCCACCCACCATCAAGATGAACAAATTGGAGAAAGGATGGGCTGTTGCTCTGTTGGGTCACTATGGGTGCAAGACTTTGTACATAAATTGATTTGCTTTGCTCCCTTCCATTTTTGCTTGCTAAGTCTGAATACCCTCTTGTGCCAAGGAGTTGATCATTCATTTGGGCCCCAGGCCTGGGGTCTTGAAAAGATAGGAATTAGAGGGCATGAAGCAGCCATTGGCTTCCTCATTCTAGGCCTCCTTTTGCTGAGGGTGATGTCATCAGCGTCTTTTTGATGGGCGTTGACGAGCTTCTTGGAGTTGCTGAGTACCAGCTGAGCTCTTCTGGTTGCCAGGGACTTAAAAAGGAGATGAGTTCACACTGCTTTCAGGGGAAGCCTGGTGGACAGAAGGGTCATGAGCTTTGGCTCAGCTCGGACCTGGGTACAAATTCCACTTTTATTCCTCTGCAACTGTGGTCTCAGGTAGCCTGTGCAAATGTTCTATGGTTTACTTTCCTATGGAGTGGAGGGAATACCTTCACTGTAGGGGTGTGGCTGAGTCCTTCAACTTCTGTGGTCATGCTTTCATAAAACATTCAAATAAAATAACACAAATATTCCTCACAGTCCTATGGGAAATCCCAAATCTCCTCCTTCCCTAGGGATTCTGGGGACTCTGGGTTGGCTACCCACCTGTCTTCTACTGCTTGCGGATCCCAGCTCTGCTCTGGGTTGCCTTGGGTCTTTCCTGCCACTGGCTCTGGGTTCTAGAACAGCAGTCTCCACTGATGCCGATTTGCATGCGTGAGTATTGCAGAAGGTCTGGGGATAACAAAAGGGCAGCCCAGGCAATCAGCATTTCCCTTCCTGAGTTTTCTTGTCATCCCAGCAAGGGGAACCAATCTGTTGCTCACTGCCTTCCTCCCCAGTCTAGCCCGCTGCCCTGCCGCACTGGCGTCAGAACTGTGCTCTCCCTGGGAAGA